TTATATTTTTCTCATATTAAGCAATAAATCAAAACACATTTCCTTGAGCCTTTGCTTTTCAACTCCAAGTTTAAAAAAATGAAAAACAAAATTTTTTTCTGGCAAAACATTAGACACGGATTTTACATATTTAAACCCCAGAAAACTAATAGATCAAATTTACATTTTTGGAGTAAAACACTAATATTATATGATTCCGTTCGTATCAGATTTTTTTTCAATTTATCAATTACATTAGGAATGTGGCATTATAAAACTTAATTTATGATTTTTTCTTAAAAAATTTCTCATTTATTTAGTTTATATACATATAGTGAACGATTTAAATTAACATGATTTTAAAAATAAATTACAATATGTCAAAACATTTTATAAAAAAGCACTAGAGCCGCTTGAGTTTAGAAATAATAAAATTACAAGCTTTTTTCATAGTTCAAAATTAAAAGAAATCTCTTTATGTGCATGTTTTAAAATTCAAAACCTCAATTTCATATATGTATGTATGTAGGCACGAATTTATGTCCATAAATATGGAATTTGTCATTTCATCTGCTTATACGTAGGTATGTATGTATGTATGTAATATAATTTTTATATATTTAAAAAATATAAAATTGATTTAAATGTTGATTAAGATGATCATTGATGATGATATTGATGTTGATAAAATATTCATTTAATTCAATGTTATTTTAAATAAAAAAGTGTATACCACAAATAAATCTAAAATAATCACAAAGTTAGAACATGATTTATAAATTCCGCAAATATTGTACATCATGCGGTATGAGTTGTACTTTTCCTGTATTTTGACTATAGCCCCTTGTTTTCACAACTATGAGAAGTTTAAATGCATAAAGTTTTTTAATTTCAAGCTCTAATTTAAAAAGAATTTTTTATGATTTTTTTTTTCATTTGAAATTCTTTAAAAGCTTTTTAAATAAAAGACTTTTTTTTTTAATTTAAAGCAGTGATTAAAATTAACAATTGTGCGGTTTCCGAAGACACGCAACCTATTTACCGCTCCACTTTCCTTCAATTTAAGTATCTACATACAAACAAATTCTTAATATTACGCGAATACATATTAAAAATATAGACAGAAAGTTCGCTATCAATCTCCACGGTTTCAACCCCTTTAAATTTATAGCATTTATATCATATTTTGAAAGTTTTTAATTCAATTTATATTTACATTTAAATATACTGCACCCCCAGAATTTACAAAATATCAAAATAAAAAATGTTAAATTGTAAATTTCTTTTGGTTTTTCTTTCTAGGAGTTTATTAGATTTTAAGTAAGACGAGACAATCAAATAGAAAACATCGCACGACTCCGCACGAACTCGATTCTTACCCATAATTACAAATAAACTTCAATTACAATCAAATGCAACCTTTTCATATACGAGTATGTAGTTATTTTTCTAAAAGTATGGCTCGATGACATCACAATGAGCGATTCTTTATAATGAATATTAATAACAACAAGCTATAAAAATAAAAAAAATTCTTAACTAATTTTATTTATTATTTAAAAAACAGGAAAAAAAATGAGTAATTGAAGAATGTTTGCCCCCGAAATACTTAGGAAAGATCATAAAAAAATTTACTTAAATTTGTTGGTTTCTGTCTGTTCTTCAACATACATATTTGATTGATAAAAATGAAACACGATGAATTCTTTCTTGTAGACGAGTACTTTAGAAATAAACAAATAAATTTAGTGTGTGATTGAATAATGAGCGCCCACAATCATAATATTGTAGGTCTTGAATGAAATTGTGTTATAAGCAAAAAAATATATTTATTTTTTTTATATTTTATTTAAATTATTTAAATTATGTATGCATAAATATTCACGTGCGCACATATATAAAAAACGCGTACTCGTATGTACATAAATGTATGAATAACATAGGTTTAGCAAAAAGAACATACATAGCTCGCTCGATTTATAATATAAACTGTTAAAAAAACACTTTAGAAGATAATAGAGAATAATTTTCCGAATTCCGAAATATTGTGAAATTTCTTAGTTAGGTAGAGCAACAGGTGTGCTGCAACACTAAAAGAAAGAACCAAGGAGAATGGTAGAATTAGTAGATATAAGAATGTATTAGTATGGCAGTTACAAAATTATTCCTTTAATTTTTATGAAAAACTTATTAGAATATAATATTTAGCTAAACATTATTTGAATTACTAGAAAGTCTGAATTTAAGGTACAGAAAAGCCTGGATCCTATACTAACATCAAGATCAAAACCATTACTATTAGAATTAGAAGCTATTACTATTAGGTGATGACTAACACAAAAAAACTTTATCCATGTCAATACGAGTATGTTTGATTTTTCAAATAAGTTTATGAGTAAAAACTACATACGAATATCAGCAGTTACTGTACAATAGCGCAACGTAATTTATTAACTAATCTTTTTTTTTGTAATTACAGACTCTCGTGTGTTGAATTTTACATTTCAATCTAGACTTTTTAAAAAATTATTATTCCTCTTCGGCCAACATGTCCAACTAATGCACCACCAAATATTTACTTAATTTTACTTAATTTTTTTGTTAAAAAATGATAAGGTAAATAATCTGAATAATTCATTGTACTCGTATTTCATTCGGAGGCGAAAATTATTATATTAAAGTCTGATTTCTTTTGTCAATACATCAGCAAGGGGGTGAACCACTTGTTGAGTTTGTTGTTAAATTATAAAAAATCCAAATTATTTTATTTGATTTAGATTGATGAAATTTGAAAAAAACATGACAAATTTTTCTGAATGCATTGCACTTGGAAAAATTTATAATCAAAAATTATAAAATTAAATTAAGTTAAGAAAGTATTGATGAAGAAAATTATTTAATTTTATAAAAATACTAAAAATATTTTTATTATCGTCATCACATTTATTTTTATTACAAAATAAAAAAGAATTTAATTTTATAATTGGCAATATTTTAAATTTTTTTTTTTCGTTGAAAAAATTTTGTTAAATAATTTTTGGTTTTGTTTTTAGGTCAAAAATCTTAAAATATTGTTTTGCTTATCGCAATATAAGTGAAGATAAAAATTGCAGTAGAAAATTTTGGTTTTGATTTGACAAAATGAAATTAATTTGGAAATTTATTTAATGATAACTGCTACGCGAAACCTTGAGGTTATTACAGTTGACTGGAAATTCATTTAAAAATATGCAAAAAGCTGAATTCATTAGTGTTTCCAGAATCCGTTTAGTTTCAAAATAAAATTATTATAGTGCCTGTCTATAGTAATTGGAAGACCTCATGCAATTTAAAGTCAACCAATTAGAATTTCAATTGAATACAAATTATCATTGATTACTATAACAATAATTATTATAGGTTTTTTCGAATTTCTATAGTTTTGAATTTTCAATTATAAAATTATTCAAAAAAGTCTGAACACACTTAATAACTAAATACATTTCATATAGCCTCTAATCGGAATCACGACCTCCTGCTTTGTATTGTTAAACGAGTTGAATGAAATTTTTGCAGTAAATTGTATATCCTCTTTTTCAGTAATTTCTTTCTTTTCGCCTTTCAGTTTCAATCATACTAATTTAGAGTTAGCCTCTATAATAATTTAAGAGTCATTATGTTTATTTAAAGAGCCTTTATATATGCAATTATAAATACTATTCAATTTAATTCAAGTCGCATTCATTTCGTTCGTAGAAGTCGAAAATCTCAACCCTACATAGGCAATATTGTGTCTTAGGTTATTTTTCAAAATTATAGCTTTGAATATTTAAGAGATCCTGAAATAGTCTGGAAATAAATTTTAAATTTGAACAGCAAATTTTAATTTTTTTGAGTATCATTTTATTTATTTTTTTTCATTTTTTTTATTTTTATTGTTTTGTGCATTTTTTAATTATTTTTGTTTCAAAAACTTTTCTAAATCAAAGAATTTATATTTAGTGTCCTTTCTAAAAAAAAAAAAGCAAAAAGAAATTATTTTGCTTTAAACTTTTTTTTACACTTCACAGTTTAAAATTTTTTAATAATATTTACTGTACATAACTGCCTAAAAATTAATTGTCTAAATAAAACACCTACAGTTATTAAGTTTTGGGAGTCTGATTACATAGAAAGAGAAGCGTATTGTGTGTGTAAAAATCTAAAAGAAAAAACTTAAGAAATTCGTAGAGATAAGAAATTATGCTTTTTTATTATGTTATGTGATTTTAGTCCTGCTACGAATGCCATTATTTACATTTGTAATTTTGGATTCCAATTATAGGGATTTTTTAATTGATTCTAAATTTAGTAACTTTAACTTTATTTTTATTGCTTCGTTTTTATTAGAGAATTTTGATAAGGAAGGCTTTAACTCAATATTCTCAAAAGCTGATGTTCATTTGAACTTTGCGTTTCATTTATAACATTACAACTAACTGGGTGTGTAACACTTACAATTGAGAGCATTTTCATTCCGTCTGATGATTTCATATTTTTATTTCAAAAATAAATATTATAAAACTTTCATATTTCATTCAAATGTAGTTTAGTTTTCATTCCTGTATGATAGGACTTCTATGTGAAAAAACGTTTGTTTTAATTAACCACTCCCAACTACTCCGAAGTTTAGAATCTTATATAGATTTAAATGGATCCTTAAGCAGTAAAATACAATTTTCAGAATTAGGCAGATTCAATTTTTAAAAAAAATTCAATTTTCTTTCCATTTTAATCAAATTCCCAAAACATTTTTGCGCTCATTACAAAATCTCAATTTTTCTGCTAAAAATTTTCAAATTACAAATTAACTTTTTTACAACTATGTTTTATAAATAAATTATTATAATTTTTTATTTAATTAAAAAAAAATGTTATCTATGATGCGTAATGTTGTATAATGTACAGTTTGTGAATAATTTATTATAAAAGAAAGATCGCTAAAATTATAGGATTTGGAAACATTAATTAAAATTTTTACATCTAAAATTTTTTCTCTGTTTTTCAATAGAAATTAAATAATTTAAAACTTAAACTATATAATATTTACAAAATTAAAATAATAATACATACATACATAAATGTACAGTGGACCTATTTTTATAAAATTATTTACATTTAAAAATATTGATATTTCGATCTTCTAAATAACAGTGAATTATTTTTAAAATTAAATTTCGTTAAGATTACAATATAAAGCGAAAATTACAGTTGATTATGTGTTTACTCAGAGTTGTAACTAAAACTATGCGTGTCATTAAGATCATCAAGTAGACAAGCTAAGCTCAATATTTTTACAGAACAGGATTGCAATAAGTTGTCTACGTGTTTATGAAACCGATATAATGTTTTTTTTTTAATAAATCAATTTACAAGCTAAAGAGAAGGATGTGGAAGAAGTTGATGTTCGTATTCGAATTCCTGACAAAAATTTTTATATTTGGTAAAACGCAATCTTTGATTTGTGTGAAAATTCTTACGATTTTTACAAAACTTCTTAAATATCAATCACAAAACAAAACTCAGAAAAACGTTTGAGCAAAATTTCAGAAACATTTTAGTTTATATTAAAGCATACTCACAATTTTACAAAACCATTAAAAGCAATGCGTCGTTAGATTAACGTTTTAATTGAAGAAACTTGGAAAATTGTGAATAATTAAAAATAATTAGTTTCTAAAATTAACTCTTAACTGATTGTAACAACAAAATTAAGTTGATTACCTTAATTACATTGTATGATTCAAAGCAATTATAGTTTAAAGCTTTTGCTAAGTATAGTATATTGGGTTAATATTTAATTTTTATGTAGATTTTAAAATAAAAAAAAGATTATTCTATTATTAAGCTAGTATTTTTAATCAAAGCTTAACAGTTTTACCATGCGCTTTTTCTTTTAAACACATCCCACCTCAGTACAATTAAAACAACAATATAAGCAAAAAATCATGCTGAAGTACATACCGATTTCTTAAAATTCTTATTAGGACGGCCTTTTGTGCATTTTTTCTATATATACAAAAAATCTGCTTGTATTTAAATATTTTAATCCTCATATAAGCGCATTATTCTATTGTATACATACAAAATTTTAATTTTAAAAACTACTCAATTCATATGCTTTTTGTTAAGCATATGCTGGGATTATTTCTCAACTATTTCTTGAAACAACTGTAACTGGCTTAAATATTGAATTAGGTGATGAAGTTGTTGATTGTGCTGCGGCTACAGCTGCAGCCGCTGCTGCTGCTAAAGGATTTTCCAAACTATTATTAATATTACTTGAGTTTGGGCTTGATTGAGTTAAATGTGTTAAAACATGTTGTTGCTGTTGTTGATGTTGTTGTTGTTGCCTTTGCTGATGTGCTACAACTGCAGCAGCTGCAGCATGCTGTTGTAATAATTGTTGATACTGTAATCTTTGGTATAGTTCAGCTGAAGGTGATGAATGTGTTGATGGAGCAGTAGCTGCTAATAATCGTTCCATTCCAGCCGCAGCACTAAACGCTGGATGTGTTGCTGAGGGTGCAACGCCCATTCCTGGCCCACCTATTGCGCCGGCTGCGGATGTGAACGGTAAACCTAATTGCAATGGAGATGGTTTTGGGGCAAATGGATTATATCGGCTATACATACTAGCTAACAATGATGGTGCAGACCCAGGTGGACCACCTGGGGGATATAAAAAATTACTCAATTGAGGGTATCCTAAGCCGGGAAACATAGGACCTATTAATGAGCGTTTAAAAGCCGCTAATCTTGATCTAGATGCCGCTGTCGTCCTTCGTCGAAGTTTACCAGTTGAACCACCAATAAATACATCTTCTGCAGATGGATCCAACATCCAATAATTACCTTTTCCAGGATCATCATAATGTCGAGGAACTTTAACAAAACATTTATTTAAGCTTAAATTATGTCGGATTGAATTTTGCCATCCTTGTTTATTATCTCGATAATAAGGGAAATTTTTCATAATGTACTCATAAATTCCATTTAAAGTGAGACGCTTCTCTGGGCTTTGCCGTATCGCCATCATGATCAAAGCGTTATAACTGTATGGGGGTTTTTCATTACCCTTCTTATCAGTAGTTTTTTCATCATTTTCACCATTTTCATCATTACCTTTTTCATCACCATCTTCATTATCATCAGCATCTTTCAAATCATCACAGTTATTTGTTTCGCTAATATCGTCAGATGGTGGTGGAGGTGATGTACTTGTAACATCTAAATCAGACTCAATTTCTGAGATCTCTTCATGTCCTAAATCACCGGTGCTGCTCATAGGTGAATTACATGACTCTGGTGCTTCCGGTGATGGTGAATGTAATGATGCTGATCCATGTCGACGATTATTAATGTGGCGATGCTGGTTTTCGTCCTCTATAGTTTCCGGAAGAATAGCATTTATTGAAAAATTTGATCGCAGCATTGGCGTTTTAGCCATATTAAATATTGAGGCTGCTGCTGCTGCTGCAGCCACCGCTACCGAAGACGATGATGTGGCCGGTATTGATAACGAATTTTGATTATTGTTTGACGATACGTTTTTATTTATTTGATAGTGTTGACTATGAGGATTATGATGGGAATGATGATGATTATTACTATTACTGCTATTACTTTGTAACGTTGTATGATGATTATTATGAAGGTGATGCAAATTATGATGATGATGAGTTGGAAATTGATGTAATGTTGCTATTTCACTAGGTTCAATTTTCATAATGATTGATCTTCTCTTTTCTTCACTTAGATCAACCAGTTTTCACTTAAATAGAATTTCTTTATTTCTTTTATTATTAGATTCTAAAAACATGTGAGAGTATTTTTGTCGATTTTTAATCACATTTCAAAAATTATATTTAAAATATTCAGCGAACGGAATTTTGTTACATAAATATGCAACTCGAAAAAATATTTCTTAAAATCATTTGGCTGTTCATTCAGTTGTTCGATTACATGTTAAACTTAAACCAATATTTATCCTTGTCATTCTCTTTTAGCAATTCAATTATACAATATATTTTTCCATAATTTGCTTTGATTTGAAATAATAGATTTGTTCACTGTTTTAATAAACACTTCGAAATTATTAATGATATATTTTTACATTATTTTTTTTTCATATTTCTTCATAAATTAATTTCTTTTAATTATATTGTGCAAATATTTCAAACAATTATTTCATATTTTCCAAAATAATTTACAAATATTTTAAATTATTTTCTTATAAACTACAACAAAAGTATTAAAACTTTTTAAATCACTCTGTACTATGTGTGTATCTTATTCTTTTTTTTTTTTTTTGTATTTTCCTATTTAGTCGGCGGTAAGTTCTTTTTCTTTAAAGAAAATATCCGACAATAAAAACGGAACGATCAATTTGCAAAAAATGTCTACGTCCAACTGAATAACCGAAACGCGATATAATGCTTGGGAAAAAATCTCACTGGTAAACTCTCTTTCTTTTTCTTATTCACCTTTTATTGTTGTTGATTCCATTATATTCTTTTCTTTTCTCTCCAATTACTCAAAACTTGCATTATAGCATAAATGGAATAAAACCAGAAAAACTAATAAATACAATAAAAAAATCCAATTTACGCCTTCTATGTTCTTGAATTGAACCAATCACAAGACACGTTCAGACATTTCTATTGGAAATGTTTAGGTGTCAACTAATAATGTATTTGATAAATTCTGATATGAATTTTATTGCGCATTCTCCTTCTTCTCTCTCTATTTGAGCTTTTCACACTAATATTCAAAATATTCATAATTTTGTCTCTTTTTATTACATATAACTTTTGTATTTCACATTATTAGTAGAAGAAATGAGAATTCCATGTGTTTTATAGTAACTGGAGTATTGAGTAATGAGTATTGAGTAACGTTACTGCTCAAACAGTGTTCTTATTTCTTTTTATAAAAATTCTTATTTATTTATTTATTTATATATATTTTCTGTTCTCTCTTTTATATACTCGTGATTGTCATTCTCTTTTGTTGGTGTTTCTTTAGTATTTTGTTTCTATAAATTGGAATTTCAAAATGTCTACCACTTTTTAACCGTATTTATCTCTACTTTTTTTAATATTTTGCTGATGTTTTGGAACTGTTTCTTATAGAAGTATTACTAGATATTGGAAATGTGTATAAACATGTTTGAATATGCACAGCACATACATATACACCATAAATTTTCTTTTTTTGAGAAACAAAAGTTAAAAAGAGATAGTGCAATTCGTATATTCTAAATATTGGGAAAAGTAAGACGGCAATATTCTATATAAAATTGAATGTTTTTATTCATTTTCTTTTTGCTTTTAAAATTTAAGTAAATAAATACTATTATACATTCTTGTTTATTATTCATGTATTATTTAGAAAATTTTATGATATGTGCTAATCCTATGTATTTCAATATTTTTACAAGCGGAACAATGGAATTGTTTATGTAAATGTGTATATCGATATAATTTGAGAATTTCCAAAGTCAGTTAATAGTTATTGTGGCTTAACAAGCAGTACTTTTCTATTTTTTTTTCTTGTAATTTAAAAATATCTGATGAATTATAATTGTATGTAATGTGTATGTGTATAAAATTTTCAAATGCATTTACACACCATGTACATATATGGTTGATTGGTTTCACCTTTTTTTTGTCTGATAATTGGTAACCATACTCACATACTGAATGTAAAAGGTGAGATTAGAGTTTTGTTCTATATGCGGTGCTCTTGCTCTTGTTGTATATTTCACTCTTTATTTTTGTTTCTGTTGTTCCTATTTTCTTCTTACCTTCTATTCTTCTACATACTTATTTAATGTTTTCTTTTCAAATGTTTTTACATTTTCAATACAATGTGATGGGTGTGTATTGTAAATGTTTTCCAATGTTTCTACATAAACTGCTTACTGAAGTTTACAAACTCAAAACTGGAAAAATTTTAAGCTTCGAGGCTTATGTGTGGGGGATTGTGATTTGTGTTGTGTTTTCTATGTTTATTTTTTAATTCTTTTGTTTTGTGTGTGTTTATTTCTTTCGACGTGGTTTGTACCTCTTATTTTTATGTGATTTCAATACAAGGAAAACAAAAATGCTGATTTTGCTTCTCGAAAATAGTAAAATGAAGAAGAAGTTTGAATTTAATTTTACATTTAAATGGTGGAGAATTATTATTGTGTATATATTAATATATTTCTCGTAAAGGGTTATACTCGTATGTGAGTGTATATGAGGTATATTATAGAAAACTGGAAAGCTAAGACGTTGATTCGCGCAGCAACTCGAGACATGTGGATATGTGCATAAATTTGTAAATACAATAAATGTGCTATGTATAGAAATTTTCATTCAAAATAAAAAATGGAGTCCACAAAATACGTATGTATGCAGATACATTGTTATTTGTTTTGTATTTTACGTAAATATATTGCTTTATTATATATTTTAGCATTTATTTGTATTTATATTGGATTTGAATTTTAATCAGCTTTATAATTACTTACTAAATATAAAAAATACTCTTTGAAGTCATCAAAATGCCTAAAACATATTGAAATTATCCAATACATTTATACACTTTTTATTTAAATAAAATGTTTGAAATTATTTTCCTTTTTCAAAGAACCTTTCCTTTTTGAACTATCTGAACAATTTCTTACATTATTGCTACACAATTTAAGAAAAACTGATATTCACACTGATTTTTCCATGTAAATCCATTCACTAAGTTTTTTCCTTACAGATGCCATACCCTGGTTAGACGCATATTGGTATGGTAACCTACCAAAAAAAAGGTTCCTATCAAATTGTTCTTTCTTACATTTCACGTACAAATGTGCATACTTCTTCAATAGTTTAAGGAAAGAAAATATTGTAAAAATCATAAAATTTTTATTTTTTAAAACAAAAGCAGAAACCTTGAAGTATTTTGAAATATTTCGCTTAATTATACCTGAATTGAGTGACAAATAAATTATGCTTATTTGATTTTTACTTTTTAAATATTTGTATCCTTTGTTCATGTCCTTTAACACTAATCATAAGTCAATAAAATTTCTAAATGAAAGAAAAAAACCAGAAAGTTTTTTAAATTTTTTACACTCAGTTGGGGTTTTGTCACTCTGCAGCAAGAAATTTCAATTTAAATGAAAATAAAAAAGAACAAAAAGTGCAAAGGATTTTTTTTAAATGAATTTTTCTATTTCTGCTTTGTACCATAAAATCAGAGTTGAGTTTGGTTTCTCTGCAGGAAACGTACTAAATCGATAATTGGCTAATCAGTAATTTTATTTTTTGATAAATTTTCTCTAAAAGGATATAAAACAGCTTCTCGCAAGAGTATAACAGTTGATAAATAAAATTAATGATATATACATATATTTAAATTTCTATAAAAGCAAAAGATTATCCGAAATTAAAGGATTCAATTCATAAAACAAAAGTGAATAAAAATCAATTATGGAACTGTAATTAACTCTTTTCTATTAATAAATCTTATTGCGTTAGTCTTACGTTATATTATTAAATTTAAATATTTTAAATTTAGAGAAAATTTGACACGTATGAAAGTATGAAAGGCCGATCATAATAATAAAGAAACGTAAACAACAAAATAATATATTAAACACTCTTTTGTAAAAAATAGAAACGAAGGAAATCTATTTTTTACGAATTTAGGTTTTACGAATAATAGGTTTTCCAAAATCAACATTGGGGTCCCCTTATAAAATTTTGCAAAAAACATTTTAAAAGATAATACCATACATACTATGAAATTTCTTTTTTGAAAAGTTTTAAGTCCTTGTTTCGAAATCTGCAACTGAATTGGACCTAAATAATACTTTCAGTTCATAATTCGACTGAAAACTTTTCGATTTAACCAAAAATTAAATCCGGAATTACCTAAAAAGATATATAGATAAGATGAGAAAAAGATAAGAGGTTAAAATTTTTTTGAGAGATCACTCCGCAAGATGCCACGAAAGACTTTAGGTAGAAAATGTGGAAGAATCGACTAACGGTACTGCAATCGAAAAAGCTTCTAGGCGAGTTTTATCACAACATGAGCATAGTGAGTGTCCCGACTTGCAAGAAACTTAAGGAAATTAGATCTTGAGAACGAAGGCAGTTGTAAGTTCTGTGATGAGGGCTTTAATGCACCTGTTGGAGAATAGTGAATCTTTGATTTCCATAATTCATCTTCAAGAACTTCCAAGTTTGCAGGAAGGGTTCATCATAAATCTTATTTTATTTTGGGTCGAAATAAACTATACTGTCGCCCCAATATTGAAACCTACAAAATAATAAGTTTTCCAGGTTTGCCATGCTAAACCTTTTTTAATCCTCTTAGTAATTTTCATTGGCGTGATGCAAGTTATTTTTAATAAAAATAATCCGATGTTGATAACAAGTTGATACTGCTAATTCTAGAAGAGTGAATTGAATAGAAACTAATTTATGACATACGACAGAATTCTTTAAAGAATCTAATCGTCGTTAAATATTTTCAAAAGTTATAATTAAATAAAATTTAAAATTTTCTAACGAAATGCGATTGCCATACTCTCAATCCTGTCGCAGCTTCATTTATGGACAAACCATTAAAACTGATACAAATAAATTTTACGTCAACAGATATAGACGCAATTATAAAAAATTAAGTTGTCAAAAGTTCACACAATAATGAAACCATTCTCCCTTTTTTTTATCTTTTTTTTTACTTTTTTTATTGAGAAGAATATACCGCACTCTTTTGATTTTTAAATATTACTGTTATTATTAAGACATCCTTTATAATATAATAACAAAATAAAAAATAAAATCAATAAAAAAATTCAAATGTTTTCTTTTGTCCTCCCTGTTCAATCTTGCTCTTACAATAAATATACCTATACTTACGAACACACATACAAATTAATAACTCTTAAATAATCGGCATTTGCCACCTTCTGTGAGCAAATGATTGGTTTCATCAGCTTCTGTCGGTACTCCAATATATACAATAATAATATTATTAGAGAAAAAAACATAATTTTCAAAATTTACGTGTAGGTTATACAAAAAATAAATAAAGAAAAAACCGACAATCAACCGAAATTTCCAATATATCAACTTATATTATTATTATTTCAAAACCTATTGTTTAACTTCTATACATATAACTTTATTTGAAAGTTTTACTAAAAATATCTTCAACAGTGTATAGTGATGGTATTTTTGCTCTTTATTTTCTGCAAAATAGAAAGACATGATCGACCATTAAATTTGTTATACATGCATGTATCACTTTATTGGAAAATTATTTGCTGCACTAACTTGGAACTTTGTAAAGATTATGGAACTA